GGTTTCTTTTCTTAATGATCAATTTTATTTTGTAAATATAGGAAGTGTTTTAAGAAGTTAGACTTGGGAGGAAGAACTTTCTCAATGTTTTTGTTTGATGAAATTTGGTTGGGTATATGGCTTAGCTTCTAGAATGTCCATCTGATCATAAAAATGAATAAATTTCTTTTAATAATTAAAGGTTGTCTATGAAATGCTATTAAAATTTGACAAGAGATTCAAAAGTAATGATAATGACAAACATCTCATTTATAGGGATTATCTTTTCGAAAATCGTCAATTAACAGAAACTTGGTCACAATGAATAATCATCAAGTTAACTTTTATGGTCTTTTAAAAGACCTATTATTTTGATGATGGTTACAGATATTCTGATAATATCCTAATCAATTTTCAAATATATAGTTTCTGTGTGCGCAATCACTGTGAAATGTGATTTTTTTTTTTAGGTTTGAAGTTTTAAAGTTGGAATAAGGACAGTTATAAACTAGAAAGTGGTAAAGGATATTGGGTGATAAACTTAGACCATTACACATAAAATTTGGTTGAGAAATGAATAACATTATGACAGAATAATAAAGTGCACTAAATGAAGACAAAAAACATGATAAAAAAAACTCACAAATAATACATGCAATGTTTTCATTTTATAATGCGATAAAATTTGAGTAAAAACTATATGAATGGCCCAATCAAAAAAAGATCTATAAATTTTCACTTAATTTTTCTACGAACAGATAAGACCAATGTTCTCCTTGATTCTTACAATATGCTTAAATAAGCTCGCAACTATTCACAATTTACTAATACTCGAGTTCGAAAGCAAGCAGGAGATACAACACTTACTCAAGTTATGTTAACTAAGGAAGATTCCTATACTTTAATTAAGAAGATAACAATAACCTTTGGAATGATCTAACTGTGGAGGGTTTAAAATAATCAGTGGAAAAGCGAAAAGATGAATGAAGTTGGCCTCTATGAATAGTCATTTGTTAGGAATAGTCTTTTGTCATGGTGATCTCTTTCTGTCCTTGGAATTCTTCTCCAAATGCCATGAATTCACAATCACAAAAACTCCTCTTAAAAAGAAAACACACTGAGAGGAGTTTGAAAATTTAAATTAAAGTAGCTTTCATTAAACATTCATCAATCTTCATTATATAATATATGAACGATATAATTCTTTGTGTAAATGTGAAGTAGATAACCCAAAAGTTGTATGGGGATGGTTGCCTAAAGTATGGGGAATGAGATGGCATTGAAGTTTTGTGAATTTTGAAGAGACTTTGTATGTTTTTGTGTGCAATGATGATGATTTTATGGTCGATGCCATAAGCCATAAAAGAGAGAGTTTCAAGAAGCACTTAACATGGTTCAACATTGGAACATAATATTGGCTTTGACATTAGTTATGATCAAGAGAGGGTGTGCTTTCATGACAAGAAGGGTGAGGTAGCATTTCGAAAGTGATGTCGATGTTAAATGTTTAAGTGGTGGTCAACATGTATGATGTTGGTCAAAGGGTGTCAAAATGGGTCAAATGGCTTGGCTCTAGGATAAGAGAATAGCTTCGTTGTCACTGCATATATATTGATCTTGATATAACACAACACATGATTTGATGCATCATCTAGCCCACAACACTAGGCCCAAAATACTAAATAAACAATACACAATAAGCTCAACTTAAAGTTATGCAAATTCTTGGAAGTACAAGGTCCATAAAAGGAAATACAAAAGAAATGAATAGTACAAGCAGAAGATCCTAGGTGCAACTGAGAGGTTGAATATGAAGACTTCGGTACTAAATTCCAAAATGCATGTTGCGTCATCTTAATCTTGTGTTTGAACGTCTATTTTAGTAAGTAGACGTTTAGGGAAAACATCCTCTTCATAAGGGAATAAAAGCTCACCTCATGTTTACGATTGTGTATGTATATGCACGCTTAGATATCTATGTATTATGTTTTTTACGAAGAGATGTTTTTATCATATAATCAAGCATGGTTCATATCTTCCAATTAGGAAATCTTATTGGTCCTTGCTCTAATTAATTTATCATCTACTTCCTTTCATTTAAAGTGCTAAATCATTGAGTTTTTTATTGTTTAGTTTTAATTATGACATAAAGGCTAGGTCCTTTTAAGGGATGCTTTAAATGTAGGATGCGTAAAGACAAAATTTAATAGTACTTCTGAGATAAGATACCTTAATAATACACAAAAGATCAATATTCACAGTTTCTTAGCTTTAGTTTAAGCAATGATTAACCGCTTTCAATGCACACCCATAAACACATTTTATTTATTCATAAAATTCGCTTAAAATTTCATAAGAGATTGAGAATGAATGCAGATTTTTGTAGTAGTTAAGACTCGGATATAAAACAAAATCTTTTATATCATATTTGGCAAATTCTCGATGATGCATACAAGCTGATCACTTATAGGTTTAAAAAAAAAAGTGGCTAAAAATTAGCAGTTAAGGTATAAGGATTATTGTTTGACAATGGTTGTGTTTAGACATGAAACTCTTCAAATAGTTAATATCCAATACAACAACAACAACAAAACCATTATCCCACTAAGTGGGGTTGGCTACATGAATCCATTTTCTCCATTGCGTCCTATTTAGTGCCATATTTTCATTTAATTCTAACAAATTAAGATCATTTTTTATAAAATAGCACTCATAAAAAAATGAGAGGAAATAAAAAAAGTATTAAGCAATTTAATTTTAATTTTACATGTCTTTGAGGTTTGTTATTTATAACCTAGTAGATTCAATTTAATCAACTTTTTTAGAATTCTAAGATCTGATCTAAAATTGGAAGCTTTAATTTGGCAAATTGAAATTCTAACAAGAACAATGAGTTCCCAACCTTAGGTTCACCAAAACAAGAAATTATAACTTTTACAATTTTGTTCAAGCTAGTTTAACAATTTGGGATTTCCAACCATAATACCATTACCAAGAAAAGAATCAAATAAGCCCATTTAGCCATAATACCAAAAAAGGAAATTGCGCAGTTGAACAAAGCTATTGACATGGATACAAGACCATAAAACAAACAAATGATGGAAAAATTAAATTATTTGCCAATTTGAAATACACACTGTAGATAGCTAATCAAGTATTGACGATGATAATACTCTAAAATAAGGGTTTAAGTGAGCCGAGTCGGCTTGCCAACCGACTCAAGTTGGATTAGTATACATACTCGTGTGCCAAGTTTATCGAGCTACGAGCTCCAGTTCAAACTCAAGCTCGTTTATCATATGAACTTGTGTTCGAGCTTATTTTGACATAACTTGAGAGCTTGTCGAGTTAACTTATATTAATTAATTCTTGTGGCTCCTGTTCAACCCAAACCACTAATTAAAGCTTGTTGAGTTAGCTTATCCTGACACGACTTGAAAGCTTATAACCCGCGCCTATCTACATAGGCTTGTGGCTCCTGTTCGACCCAAATCACTATTATAGGGGCTCAAAATTGAGCTTTCGAGCTGAAGCTTGAGCCGGGCATAATTGCTATGAGCCGAATTTGAGCTTAGCTGATGAGCTTGAGCAAAGCATATATCTCACAATTTAAGCTTAACTTTAGTGTAACTTGAGCTCGGATCTACTCGTTTACACTCTGTTCTCAAATATCTACCATGATCCAAACAAATATTTCCTAGCAGTCTATTTTCTATAGGTCCATTTAGAGCTTGTCTCAGTTTATATTCTTTTGCTACCCAATTTTACATCTAACCTATTAAGAGCCAAAAGAAAATAGCAAGAAACTATCATTTGCAATTATTAGAAACTTATAAGACTACACTAATTTAAGGAAGTCTTGGAGGAAATCAAAATTGAAATAATTTTTTCTCAAATATAAATGTTGAAATTCCGTCCATAGTTTCCACAATAGCTCATGATTATTCCTTGCCATATCTTTGAAAGCTAGTGGAGGTGGAAATCTTGTAGATGCTAGCAATGGTATGACCTTGTAGGCTTTCTTGACTGAAGCAAAGATGAGCGGATGGCGATCATTTGTTAAGAACTGAATGGAATTCACACCAACAATTGCAATAAATTAAAATACAGATACTGACAGTTAACTTCCATTTAGAAATCTAATTCTTGAGATTAACAAAGTAAAGACATCACATGTTGGCTCTTAATGTTGGCTCTTACAAATTTACGGTTTAGACGAAGTTGATGTAGAAAAGGGAGAAGACAACTTCAAGCATAAAACTCAATTTCATTAATGAATTATTACTTATTAAGCCATGTTATAATGAAATTAAGAATCCTAAATTTAAAATTTAGTTAAAATGAAATTACTATTATGTTAGGTATGCAAAATGGTTGGATATGTCACGTATATATGTTTAAATATTACACACACACACACACACACACACACAAAATAGTTAATTAAATAAATAAACTATGAAAATACTAATAAAAAATCTAGAATTATTAAGAAAGAAGATTAGCACTGAACAAGAAATTAATTACATTTAAATTGTTATTATAGATGCACATAAGGACTAGAATGACTTAGAGGAAAAAAATAGCAGACTACAGTCTTGAGGTGGGTAATATATTTTTATTTTATAGTTCTGTTTATTTATGCATTTTTTTACTGTTTCCCAATTTTTATTTTTAAAATGCAAAAGTCCATGTTTCTTTTTAAATGTTAAATATAAGTTTTTCTTTTAAATGTTAAATGCAAGATAAATATGAATAAAATATGATATATGCATGCATATGAGAGTCAAGTTTGAATTGTACTGACAGAGGAATGCAATGTATCAGTGCGGAAAATGAAAATGGTTGCCTACCTTTATGGTGGGTAGTACAAGGTTAAATATATATTTTTATAAAGTGTAAATTTACAAAAGTATTACCGCACATTTACAAATATATTTTAAAATGAGAATTATTGTAATTTAGAAACATTTACTTATTTATTAGTTTTAACTCAAACCATAGTTGCTAACATTTTACAGGAAAATCATCTATAAATTAGATGAAACCCAATCATTACGTGTACAGGCGTCGAGGAACGCAAGCTGATAGGTATTGCAGTTTAGTTTACTTTCTGTATAAATTTAAATGTGAACCGTTAAATATGAACAATCTACTATAAGTATAAGTTTTATGTTTTAGAATGACTCTTTTATGTTTTGGATTTTTATTTTTGTGATGAAATGAAACTATTCGATAGGTTTCATTCGCTCGGCTTTCAGTTCCCTTCTTGGTAATTCCAAGCTCACCAGGCCGGGTCATGACAAAACCAAACCAGTAGAGGAGGTTAATGGAAAACAGGGTTGTTCCTTGTTCTCGGGGTATAGACTACGAAAACAAGGAAAGATAGGAAAAGGAATAGCCAATCTTGACAAATCCCATGCTCCATTACGACTCCTCTTCACCACCTTTCCTTCAACTTTCAACAATAAATTAAACCTGGCGTGATAAGCAAAAGGGTATAGAATTCTTCCTATTCTTATAGGAACCATCATTATAGGAGTGATAGTATATCACTAAAAAGGTTAACTAAGTGGCCGATTGGTTTGCTGAAAAAAATGCAGTGTAATTGAAACGTATTGTATTTGGAATACTTTGGAGTTATTTGGTTTGGTGTAAAATATATGCAAGAGTTTATAATTTTGTGGTTGGCATGAAAAAAAAAATTCATTGTAAAATACGGTCAACAATGCTAACGATGGTGATGGAGGCTGCCAACAAGGGGCAACGACCTTCTAGCTGTGGGAGTGCTGTCGGCAACGGGTTACAATTTACAATATATTTGAAAATCACCCAAATTTAACGAATTTGTTATACAATAGTTTGAATTGTAGAGTGATTCCAAATTTAACAAAATTTTACATTGCATTCCATTTTCATCAAACTATATGCTGAAATTTTGAAAACTCCTGCATTTGGTTTATTATTACACCAAAAATTCATCAAACTAAACAACACTGATATCAATGCCATTGTCCATGACTAGCATACTGAATAAATAAAACATTTCAGAATTGCATGAGATTTTCATCATAGCATGCTCATAATAAGTAAGCCCTAAAAGTTTTCTAGAAAAAATGGGTTATCTAGTTTGAAAATGAGTCAAAAAGTTTATCCTGCTAATGTCATGAAATGATAGTCTCATGTTTAAAGCTGGCTATAGCTATTTATTCCTCGGTTTTCTCATCTTCATTATAGCCGAAATTGACATGAGGCGGTCTTTCAAATGACGCATCTCTCGAGTGATGGACAATGATTATCATATCAGAAACTTTTTTATGTTAGAAGGATAAATGTATTGTACTGTGAATCCAGAATTCTCCATATTTATCTATCTCGTATGCCTCTTTATCCTCAACTTATTATTTCTATTGTCCGCATGTAAATAAGCTTGTATAGGTCACTTTGAGCCCAAAAAAAGAAAGAATAAAGTTATATTTATCGAGAGCACAATTGATTTCTACTTTGTCTCCTCTTTTCTATTTAACAACTTATGCTACCTTAGCAGAAACTGTTTGAACTCTTTAATTTCTCAATATTTTTTAAGTAAAAAATTTAACTTTCAGGGGGCAATAGACACAGCCATGATTGAGCCACGTGTCAAAGTAGCCAATCCTGATGATCCTACGCCCTTAATCAATTTGTATGTTGAAGACCAATCAGACCCTGCAATGCGACTTGTTTCAGAAATGATGATATTATGTGGAGAGGTTATAGCCACCTTTGGTTCTGTCCACAATATTCCACTGCCTTATAGAGGGCAGCCTCAGTCGAGCATCTCACCATTCGCCTTTGCCCATCTTCCAGAAGGATTAGTCAGGAGATCTGCTTATATCAGAATAATGCGTGCTGCTGAAATGGATTTTAAAAAGCCTATTCGCCATGGCGTTCTAGGTGTTCCTGGCTATGTACAATTTACTTCTCCAATTAGAAGATACATTGATCTTCTAGCACACTATCAGGTATTCTCTTTTTCATAATAATAATATTGTTGCTTTCCCTTTTGTGCTTTTGTGCTTATGTATTGAGTTATGGGTTTCTTATTTGAGGAATTATCAGTCACAGTCATGAGAATGTAGAGAAATTGAGAGACTGGGCAAATAGTGCTGTTATCATTTAAATTATCACATTTGCTAACTTTTTATAGTAGGACCCTTTTTAAGTTATTTACCAGTGTGTATGTGTGTGTACGTACATACCACACATTTCTTATGTATTTACAATATCAAACCCATAAACTTTCATATTTACTGACATAACACTCAGCCTTAATTTCAAATCAAATTTATCAATATTACTAACTTTTTATAAGTGAAGTATATCTATTCATACATAGATTTATGACACCAAATTGTTATGAAAATATATAAAAAATTAGGTGTTATATATGTAAATACATAAGAAAGATATGTAAGTCCCCCCTCTCTCTTTCTATCTTGTAATATGATTTATGAGCAATATGATCTTCTATATTTTTGCTAATCACCGCACTCTACCATGCCTTGCATGCTGCCTCCTACCACACTTAGCAGGTCATTTGTCGCTTGCTTCACCCCCCTCACCAAAAAAAAAGAAGGAAAATTCACTCATCTTTCTCTTATTTTTTTCGTCTCTCATCTCTCTATCTTTAACTTATCTCTTATCATTAGTCTTCGAGGCCCACTCATCTTTCTCTCTTATTTTTTTCGTCTCTCATCTCTCTACCTTTAACTTATCTCTTATCATTAGTCTTCGAGGCCCTTGACCCCCTGACCCGATCAGCAATTACGCAGTAATTTAACTTCTAAATATGAAAAAAACTTGACTCAATTTATATTTAACGGCTAGTGTGCAAAATCGATATGTTGTAAAATTTAGAAAATAATTTACACACTAAGGGTACTATGCAAGTATACGTATCGTTTCAAGTAATTTTTCTTTAAAACCACAATATCGATTCCATAGAGAAGCGAGATAAGAAATCTCTTAAGATAAGTTCTATTCTATTACTATAAAGTCTTAGTTTGGAATATCGATTAAAATGGTTTTTCTAATAACTATTCCTAAATGAAAATCTTAAAGCTAAGATGACTTATCTGGATAAACTGATTAGGAGAATTTTGAGATGCTAAAGACTACCCTTCTCGTGTAATGACCTAGATTATGAGTAGGAATGCAATGCTTAGAATTTAATGTAGTCAGTGACAAATAAGAACATACACATTCTTTACCCCCTCTCGGTGCTTTACCTTCTCTCCGTTAGCAAAAAACATTGACTAACCTAGAGTTTTTAACCAGCTTGTGTAGTAGTGCTGAGGAGATTCCAGTCTCTCACTTCCAGATTACCCACTGTGCTCTCTCTATAGGACTTATTGGGCTCTTACGATCTAAACTCTAGACCAAATTGATAAAAGAATCTAGTGTCACCCTAGAAACATCAGTACTACGCCCATCAAAACTTATCTCCCTATCTATTTGCACTCCCCCTCAGGTGATCGCAACGGCTCTGCCGAAGTTGAAATGTGGTACTCACTAGTTGGTGAAATCATAGTACTTTCGGGTCATTATATTTCACAATGAATTTTAACATTACAAGTGATCATTTTGTAAAGTAAAGTAAGAGTCGCTGAAAATACCATCACATTAATTAAATAAGAGAATATCTAAGCAAATCTAAAGTCCTAAACATGCATCTGTTTCATTACAAAAGAAAAGTAAAATGAAGATAATGACATAAATAACAAAAAAATTGATAGAATCAAGTGATAAATTATGTGCCAACAAGGAACATATGTCTACTTACTCTCTTTCGAGTGTATGAGTATGCTTAGTATTCTATTAATTTTATGCAACTATCTGTCGCCTAGAAGCATCTATCGCAACTATCTGTCGCCTAGAAGCATCTAATAGAAACAGATCATTAAATTATATTTCTTTAAAAGTTGCATTACTGCTTAAACTATTTTACTAACCAACTGATCAATGTGAGGGCACTCAAGTTGCAAAATCACCGCTTTCCCGAATTTTAGTTTCACTTGCTACAAATTTTAACATAATATATTTCCACTTAAGTTATGTCAATGAATCAAATGAGACATTACTCATCCCATGAAAATAAATTTAATTCTATCATAAAACAAATTTTCCTACATGTCACAACTTCATATTAAAAGAAAAGAATAAAAAAAAAAACTACTTGCTAAGCATGGATAAAATATAACAGAAAACTTCATTTAAATCAAAGAAAATCCACTGGAAAGTGTTTATAACAATTACAAGACAATGAATAACACAATATTTAGTTTTTTCCCTTTGAAAGAAATATGAAAATCTCTCCAATAAAGTCTTTAGCCGATCCATGCACCGCTCATACTTTCTTACTCATATCTCTCGAAATCCCTCACCAATCTCTACAGAAAATGGAGAAATCTTCATCTCCATAGACTCACGTTAAACTCCCTCTCAATCTCATTAAAAAATTCCTCCTAAAACACACACTAATTAATTCTCATGGGAGGCGCAAGCCCTCATTTCTCTAAGAGACATCTCTTCATCGAAAAGACACACCCTTTCACTCCAAAAGACACATCTCCTCATCCAAGAGCCTTTCCAAGTGTCAAAATTCATTTAATCATTTCATAGGGCGTGCAAGTCATCCAGAAGCTTTCAGAACATCCCAGAATAAGCCCAGAATTGCTCAAAAGCCATCCAAAAACTGTCTCGGGCGCTATGTCGCCAGAATCGTCGTCTGTTTATAGTCGTGTGTGGCGTTATTGCACCAGAATCCGACGCCATGTGGGCAACACGCATGTTTTGCTTCGTTTTGGCTCCCGTTTCAGCTCTGATTCGCTCCTAGTGTTATACCTACAAGATAAACATGAAAATAACATTTCTTTAAATTATAATTTCATTCAAAAACATGTGATAAATATAGAGAAAATTAAACATAGAAAGTTATATCAAAATGCGTCACGTTAAACTTATTTTTCTTGTTGAACTTGACTCCAAATTGCACCGTTTTTGCTTCATTTTCGCTAAAATTTTATTCCTTGTACCTGAAACAAAA